GAGCCATTTTGTTTACACACAAAGCATTCTGGGTAAATGATGACGTGGATAGGTCCTCGGTGTGAGGCTGCTAGTGAGCTATCATAGATATGAATACGTAGAAGCCTCGTTGACTGTGTCAGGCCGCTGCTGTGACGAAGCAGTGCGTCCACCATATTGGAGGTGGCACCGCTGCGCTGTGAACTACTACAAATGAATGGACTTTTTAACAGAGATTTACGTTAATATTTATATTAACATTTATTCTAACACACACACATACACACAACTTGAGAAAAACAGGTACCAAAAACAATGTATTAAAACTTATTACAGGACTACAAAATACAACTTTATTGATCCCACACACAGTTAATTTATGTTTCATAAGCTGTTGTGGTGTCCAAGAGTGGGGGCCTCTTCTCAGGAATGCACAGATGTGTTACGTCTCTTGGTTTTCCAGCTTCAGAGCTCGGCACATATTACCATATTAGGAAGAGGAATGCTTAAGGTATACTGTGACAAAATTTATGATGCCTCTGTTGAACTACACTGTGAAGCCTATAAAGAGCCTTGTACACCCCCACCCTTGGCCTTCGTAACTTCATCTTTCTTACTTGGTGAATCATTTGGCTTGGAGGCCATAATTTGGTTTTTGGCTGTAATCTCCAGGACTGCAAAATAAAGATTCTTACTGTTCAACCAGCCTGTTTCAGAGTTTCTCTCTTCATTGAGCAGCAGCAGTTCCACTTCAACCAGAAGACGAGGTTATTTCACCTCACTGTAAAGGTAAAGTAGTGTAAAAATCAATTTGTGTTACACTTTGTATTATTATGTGAATTGTAATGATTGAATTTAGGAAACCTATACAGAATAAAAAAGCTAAACACACAGCAACAACAGTCAAATAAAATGTTTGACTGAACTAATTTATTTAGAAGAACCCCAGTTTAGCCTGTTAGCTTTGTGCTAGCACTGATGCTATATTGTCTTAGATGTATTAGCATGGTGCTAGTGCGACAAACAAGCTAAACTGTTGTCCTCCATCCATATTTTCAGTTCCAGGCTGAGTCATTTCTACCTTCTCCTCTCTGTCAACGCTCTCTGGTTTCATTTAAGAGTCGATCATCAGATATTGTCCAAGATTAACCTTCAGGGTGGATATAGCTCGCTAGCAGCCTCGCACCGAGGACCTATCCACGTCATCATTTACCCAGAATGCTTTGCTTGTAAATAAAATGGCCCTGTCCACATATATTTAAACTTTTAGTTTAAAATTTATAAAAACTAAACATCCTACAGTATTCTTAGTCTTTATTTTACAGTTAAAATAAATGTTTAGCAAATAAAGTCTAATGTTACATTTAATTGATCACAAAATGCTAAAAATATATTAAAAACTTGTTTTTCTGATGAAACCACAAGGTGTTAGGTATCAGGAGGAAGAAATGACTTCCTTTAAACAGTAAAAGAATCTCCAGCAGAACCAGGACCAGGACCATGGATGCCCATCTGGTTTGGCTTTAAGCTTTTTGGTTTGAGGAACACAAACACAGAATACCTGGTCCAGGTTTGGATTCAACAGGAAATAAAATCAAAACAATAAACATGTAGAGAAGAGAGACTAAAGACAACAGCAGAGTGAGGAAATGTGCAGTTTGTGCTCCAGCAGTCTAAGTCTATAGCAGCAGAAATGAAGAATAATTCAGGAAACCTAAGTCTAACGGATTTATCAAAAAGGAAAGTCTTCAGTCTAATCTTAAAAGTAGACAGAGTGTCAGCCTCATGAACAGAAGCATAAAAATTTACAATTGATTAGTTATAAAATATTATAGAGAAAATATTGTTTGACTAACTTCAAACAGTATTTATAAAAATAAAAGAAATGCTTTTATTCTGAAAGGGTTAAACTGGAAGTATCAAGTTAGACCAGCTATAACTCTGGTTTGGATTGGCTGATTTGCCACAGATGACCCCGCCCACCTTCAAATTGACTCAATAGAAAACTAACAGGTTAGCGGTTTAGCGTTAGCCAGCTAATTGTTTATAGAGGGTTAGTGAAGCTAACATTTTACTGAGCCCGTGAGGGTACATGGGGGATTTTTTTTTCTTTTTTGCAGTCCCACGCGAAAGTATTGCGTTACCTCACAATACCTTTTGCGTTACCTCGCAAGTCGTTTATCACTGTTGTGCCTGCCGGTTTATTGACAAACTCACATTTACCATTAGCGAGTTAGCTACTGCTTCAGCTTCAGAATGAATATATCACACAGACACACATGGAAGTCATATGTCGATATTTTAACACAGTGCAGCCAGGCAACATCAATGTCAATTTCACAAACTTGTAGCGCCACATCCTGTTTTCGTAACTGGATATTTCAAAATCAGCCTAATTTAATTCAGTTCATATACAAATCAAACTTTTGTGTGGGAACGCAAAACAATAGTGCGAGGTAACGCAAAAGAAAAAAAAAATCACCCCATGTCCCCTCGCGGGCTCCGTAGTGTTTATGTATTGTTATTGTTGATTGTAAAATGTTTTATTTTGTATCGTTTTTATTTTTCCGTTATTTTATTTTCTTGTTTTTATTATTGTTGGATGTTGTTTTATTTTTATTATTAGGAGGACTGCAGATGTAAACTAGCTGTAGGCTAAATCTGGTGCAATGCATCAAATATTTTTATGTTTATGTTTTAATTGCACACTGTCCTTATAAATAAAATTAATAATAATAATAAGATTTGAGTTGAAGACTTTGCTTGTTTCATGTTTTTTTTATCCTGAGGAGACTTTCTAAACACAAATTCTGAGCTGCATCCTAAACGTGAGCAAATTCAGTGGAAACATTAAAAATCTAAAGAATTCAACATTAAATTTATTATAACAAAACAGGCTTCAAACATGAAATCATACAAACTCATTTTAAATGAAACACAGAACCAAAACCAGGTTTCAGACCTGAATAAAAACCAGGTTCCAGTTTTTACAGCCGTCCTGCTTCCTTGAACCTGCCCAGCAGCCCATCGTCTGCCCTCAGGGGGAAGCTCAGCGTCCGGGTTTGATAGAACTTTGGGTCCGACTGCAGGTTCTGGATGACATTGGAGAGGAGGTGCGCTCGCTCCACGCTGCAGCCCGGCGCCTCGAAGCCCAGGTTAGTGAAGTGGACGTGCAGGTGGTAGTAGGAGGGCTGGTAGTGCAGGAAGACCCGCAGCTTGCTGTGTGGGAGGTGGTAGCGCTGCAGGATGGCCTCCTACATCACAACACAGAGACGCTCAGCCTGGTGGGAGGAGCTTCCTGCTGCACCGCACACACACAGGAAGCTCTGCACACTCACCTGTCCTTTCTGCAGCATGTTCTGCAGCAGAGGGAGGTGCTTCGACGTTAGGTCCCGAAGGCTCCCGATGTGTCTCTGATGAGCGATGGCGATCAGGTACAGGTCGTCAACCTGGAACACATACTGGGAACCTTAATGCTAACTCTCTGTGAGCTCCAATCACCTGTTAGCAAAATATCACTGCACTAACACCAGTCAGCCTGATTTAACATCTGGAGTCAGCCTGATTCAACATCTGGAGTCAAACTGATTTAACATCTGGAATCAGCTGAATTTAACATCTGGAGTCAGCTTGATTTAACATCTGGAGTTAGCTGAATTTAGCATCTGGAGTCAGCCTAATTTAACATCTGGATTCAGCCTGATTTAACATCTGCAGTCAGCCTGATTTAACATCTGCAGTCAGCCTGATTTAACATCTGCAGTCAGCCTGATTTAACATCTGCAGTCAGCCTGATTTAACATCTGCAGTCAGCTTGATTCAACATCTGGAGTCAGCTTGATTCAACATCTGGAGTCAGCCTGATTTACAGTAACATCTGTAGGCAGCCTGATTTAACATCTGGAGTCAGCCTGATTTAACATCTGGAGTCAAACTGATTTAACATCTGGAGTCAAACTGATTTAACATCTGGAGTCAGCCTGATTTACAGTAACATCTGTAGGCAGCCTGATTTAACATCTGGAGTCAGCCTGATTTAACATCTGGAGTCAAACTGATTTAACATGTGGAGTCAAACTGATTTAACATCTGGAGTCAAACTGATTTAACATCTGGAGTCAAACTGATTTAACATCTGGAGTCAAACTGATTTAACATCTGGAGTCAGCCTGATTCAACATCTGG